TTAAGGTCAAACTATCTTTATTTAGCTTGACTTGGCTGAATCTATAGCAGCTTGTACTTGTCTCAAGGATTACGTTAAACTGCCGGAGGGAAAAAGAACCTGTATTACCATCTTGAGTTATTTACATTTCAACCTGAATGAGTTTCAAATCCATCCTTGAAATGATTAATGAAGAAAGGAAACTAGAGACGGAAGCAATGGGAATCAAATGCATTTAAATTAAGCAAGAAACAGCTGCCAGGATACCTGAGATCTGAAACTGCCATGATTCACTGGCCCTGATTGGTCTCTTACTATTTTAAAGTTTCTCTGGGGTTAGTCTCTGTTTCTCCACCTCACTATACCCTCTTCTTAGTGCTCATCAACACCCACACCTTTATTTGCCACCTGCATATCTCCAGCCAAACCTTCATCTTTTAAGTTCCAGATCTGTATAACCAATTGTGTCCCTAACATCTCCTTCAGGATGTATATGAGGCATGTCAACTTCACTGTTTCTTAATGCACTCCAACCCTCTCTTCCAAACCTGGGATTCATCCAGTAATCCTACAATGTATACAAACCCCCAAGTGTTACTCTTAATAACTCTTACATTTCTAATATAGTCCACTTAATACCTAAAAGTCTCTTCTTGTTTGAGAATTTTATACATGCATATAAGCATATAATGGTTTTGATCAAATCTACTTTCCTGCATTGCCTCACCTCCAAATCCTCCCTTAGGCCCCTAAATGTCTTTTTTTTTTTTTTTTTTTTTTTGACACAAACTCACAGAGCTCCACCTGCCTCTCCCTCCCTAAGTGCTGGGATTAAAGGTGTGCACCACCATCCCTAGCTAAATGTCTTTCTAAAATTGGGGGGGGTTGTTTTTGTTTTTCGAGAAAGCTTTTCTCTGTGTAGCTTGGCTATCATGGAACGAACTTTGTAGACCACACTGGCCTCAAGCTCACAGAGATCCGCCTGCCTCTGCCTCTCAAGTGCTGGGATTAAAGGCGAGCAACACCACCACCTGACTAAAATACTCATTTTTATTATTTTTATGTTATTTTATTTTTATTTTATTATAAAAGTAATAAAATGTGTGTGTGATACATGTGAGTAAGAGCCCTCAGAAGCCAGACTAGAGCATCTGGTCCCCTGGATCTGGAGCTACAGGTGGTTATGAGCTACCAATGTGGGTGCTAGGAACCACACTTAGGCTCTCTTCAAGAGCAGTGTGTGGTCTTTGCTGAGCTATCTCTCCAGCCCCACTATTGTTTTGTGTTGCTGCTGTTGTTGTTTTTTCTCTTAAAGACTTGGTCTTCCTTTGTTGCCCAGGCTGTCCTCAAATTTGTGATCATCCTGCCTCTGCCTCCTAAGTGTAAATAATTTTTACTCACTCCTAGCTACCATCCTGCATTCCCTTCTACTTTGCATACTTCAAAAAAATATTAAGTAAAAATTTGATATTGTTCACTCTCCTTACCCCCAAATTAATATACATCCTGTGGCTTCCTGCTGTTTTTAGAATAAAGGAGCATCTCAGGGTGGCTTCTGCCCACCTCTCCAGCCTGTGCTCTAACCATACACACTTTTTTTTCATTCTAGTTTGTGTCACTTTAAGGTCTTCCAAATTTCTGAGTTCACACTAGAACATGCCACCATGGAGCCTTGGCCTTTGCCCACAGCTGGAATGCTTGTCTTTTTCCTTGAGGGAAGTGGGTTGTGAAAGTAAACCCAGTGCCTCATGCATGTTAAGTACGCCTTGTGTCTCAGCTATATCCCACACCCTGGGATGCTCGTCTTTTCCTCTGTTATTCTGTTCTTTTTGCCTGTACTTACCCTTCAGCGGTCTCTCAATCCCTCAATTCTAGTGCCTCCTGTCCTCTATCATTTACTTAGCTGTAGCAGTCAGGTAGTGAGTGTACGATGACATCCAAGTGTGAGAAAAACATGTTCCCTGCCCTGCTGGAGTTTCTGGTCAGATAGACAGTGAGCAGATAATTAGAGTGTTCTGAGTGCTACCGTGGCAGTAAGTATAGGGTATGGTGAGAGCCAAGTAGGGAGATTCCACATCCAAATTTGGGGATAAGAAAAAATTTCTCAGAAAAGTTCAAACTGGAGTTGGCTCCTGAAGCAAGAATAACCAGGGGAATGTTGAAGGAAACTACATTCCAAGCAGATCACTCTGGAAAGGGACACTTTCCATCAGAGGCCCATGCGAGTGCAGGAACCTTACTAGGAGTTGTTGAATTTGGCCGGATTGCAGAATATGGTGAAGATAAGCTGGGAGTCAGCAGGCAGGAGTCAAGTTAGTTATCCCTGGGAATCCCTTCCTCCAGAACATATTGACTATGTAGCCAATTTTCCATGGCATCCTTTGACATTTTTTTCCCTCCACCTGCAGCTCAAATGGAAACCCTCTTTAAGCTAGGCTGTCAATCTATCAGCTTTCCTCATCTGATTATTGCTCCAAGCCTCCAACATCATGTCGCAACATGCTTGAGAAAGGCCAGAAATGGCTAGCAATAAAACAGATTCAAATTCTTAGTAATTCTCCAAACTGGAAATTTTTGTCAACCTGGAATTGGTTAGATAAAGTTAAAAATACCATGTATAGCCAGGCAGTGGTGGTGCTCATCTTCAGTCTCAGCACTCAGAGGCAGAGGCAGGTGCATCTCTGAGTTTGAGGCCAGCCTGGTCTACAGAGAGAGTTCCAGGACAGCCAGGACTACACAGAGAAACGCTGTCTCGAAAAACAAAAAGGGGGGGGGGCGCTTAAGAGAATATACAAAAATTTGAAAAGAAAAAAAATACTGCCTTACAAAGGAATACACAGGGTTTATTTATAAAGATCTAGTGCCCTTTACATGTATTCTAGGAGGTCCCAAACTCTTCATTCTTCATGGAAATTAAAACTTTCTTCCTGAGTCTGCTCGTATGGTTCCATGTTGTTTGACTTTTCTGGGGGCGGGGGTTTGAAACAGGGTTTCTCTGTGTAGCCCTGACTGTTCTGGAACTTGCTCTGTAGACCAGGCTGGCCTTGAACTCACAGAAATCTGCCTGCCTCTGCCTCTCAAGGAATGGGATTAAAGGTGTGCACCACCACTGCCTGGCAACATCTACAGTTGTTTTTTTGTTTCTTTGTTTAAGTTTTGAAAAGAAAACTCAATTCAAAACAAGTGTACCCTAACCCTCTCGGTGGTCAGGTCAGTGAGTCAGCTTGGTGAGATGAGTACTATATGGAGAGTCTTCTCTTCAAAGAGTGGCAGAGTAAGGAAGGCAAAGCATCTGGAAGTCAGGCCTGCTTTGTGACACATCTAACTCATCATTGACTCCTTCTTTAATTACTCCATGTATCCATCAAACCAGTACCCAGTCTTTGTCAAGTTCAGTGTGGAGTATTTATCGAAGCAGAAGTCTAACTTCTTGTCCCTGTCCTCAAGTTTACAGGGAGAAAACAGAAACTAAGCAAATAATAAAGAAATTAGTATGGAGGGCTGAAAGTAGAACTGAGTTCCTAGAGTATTTACCCTGGCATGCACAAGACCCCAGGAACACACACAGAGACTGAAGTACTGACAGTACAGCTACTTCCATTTGTTGAGCATCTGCTTTAGGCCATACACTAGCTCTTCAGGGAGGGTGTGTCTTCATTTCACAAGTAAGAAAACAGATGATGTTAAAGTTTTATCCAAAGTGCAGCTGGAGAATGGGTCGGTTAGCTATTGCTGTGCATCAAATCATCCAAAACCAAGTGGCTTAAAATAATAAGCATTAATTCTTACCTTGATGACTCTGAGTTACCTGGATGGTTCTTATCGTGGCTGAGTTCATACATCTATCTGCCTGCAGTCATCTGTGGGTTAGGTGATCCTCCCAATCTTGACATTGGGTGTTAGCTGACTGTAGCCTGATCTAATCTGGCCTCAGCTGAGGTCATTGGCTCATTTTCACCTCTAGTACCTGATATATCTCACATCCCTCTAGCATTCCAGCCATTTCTCATGGCATTGGCAGAGAGCAGGAGAGCAAGTCTTCCTATAAAGTTTCTATTTGCCAGGCTGGAAATGTAGCTCAGTGCTAGAGCAATTGCCTAGCATATAAAAGACTCTTTGAGTTCATGCCCAGTGCCCAAAACAAAACCTTAAATCTTTTGTTTTCTTCATTTTATCAGCATCTCACAGGCTGGTTCAAAAGCTGAGCTCCGCATCAGAATGGAGTGGAACTATAAAATTATAGTGCAAAGGGGAGAGATATCGGGCAGACCATGAATAGGAATCATTGATTCTTGCAAGCTTTAATATCTAAATTGAAAAAATAAATTTAAATGATGTTTTCTCTAGAAAAGGAAGATTTTTACAAAGCCAAGTATGGTGATACATGCTTGTAATCTTAGCATTTGGGAAGTAGAGGCAGAGGGAATCAGGACTTCAAGTCATCCTTGGCTACATTGTGGGTTCCAGGCCAACCTGGGCTATATGAGAACCTGTGTGTGTGAATGTATATATGTACATATAAAATTATATACATACACACGTATATATGTATATTTATACATGTATATACATTTTTTTTCATGACAGGGTTTCTCTGTGTAACAGCCCTGGCTGTCCTAGAACTCGCTTTGTAGACCAGGCTGGCCTCAAACTCACACAGATCCATACCTGCTTCTGCCTCCTGAGTGTGCCACCACTGCCTGGCTTATATAATTTTTTAAAACTGTATATAAGATGGTACATGGGGCTGGAGAGATGGCTCAGCAGTTAAAACACTGAGCACTGTCTCCTCTTGCACAGAACCCACGTTTGGTTCTCAGCACCCGTGTGGTAGCTCACATCCATCTTTAACTCCAGTTCCAGGGCATCTGGCAATCTCCTGACCTCCACAGGCACCAGACACCAGGAGCATTTATGGTGCACATACATACAGGTAAAACACTCATCCACATAAAATAAATCTAAGACTATTTTTTTTAAATGTAGTCCTTGGGGGACTGTCTCCAGGACCCCCTTGGATGCAGGGTCTGAATGTTCATGTCTCTTATAGAGAGTGCTGCTACATTTGCATATAATGCACACACATTGTCCTGTGCACTCTAGATCATCTGGATTACTCTCAGTGACTGAAGTGTGGGTTCTGTATGAGTTCTTGTCCTGCGGTGTTGTTTAGTGAGGGACGACAATGGGGCAAATGCTCATTCAGTAAGACAAATGCTGTGGGATTTCACGTGAATGAAGTTTCAGGTGTATGGCACAGTTAGGAAGGTCAGAAGGCATTTTGCAGGAGTGAGGGCTCTCCTTCAATCACATGGGTCTGGAGGAGCAAATTCGGGTCATCAGGTTTGGCAGCAACAGCCCAACATTTTTTTCTTTTTTATGTATACAGTGTTCTGCCTGTATGTATGCCTGCGTGCCAGAAGAGGGCATTTAGATGGTTGTGAGCTACCATCTGGTTGCTGGGAATTGAACTCAGGACCTCTGGAAGAGCAGCCAGTGCTCTTAACCTCTGAGCCATCTCTCCGGCTCTCTAAGACTCTATTTTAAGTCTAAAAAGATACTTTAGGGACTGGGGAGACAGTTTGGTTGGTAAAGTGCTGCCCTGCAAGCATAAGGACCTGAGTTCTCCAAACATGGTGATACACACTTAAAATCCCAGAACTGGGGAGGCAGAGGCAGGGGATTCCTGGGGCTCTCTGGCTAGTCAGCTTAGCCTGCCTGGCAAGCTCTAGGCCATTCAGAGACCCTTTCTCAAAAAAGTGGGGGGAAGTGGATGGCAAATGAGGAAGGACATCCAAGGTTGTCCTTGGGCCTCCACACACATGTACATGTCTATATAGGTACACACACCCACATTTGTAAACACACAAGAAAGAACACCTATAATCACAGTACTAGGGAGAACCTGTCTTTAAAACAAAACAAACAAAAAACCAGCAGAGCATGGTGGTTCAAGCCTCTAATCCCAACACGAGCGAGGCAGAAGCAAAGGAAGGCAATGAGGAGGTGGAGGTGGTAGTACAGGCACACTAGGGCTGACACTAAACAGAGTATTCACTAAATAGGCAACTGTAACTTGGAACTGGCTACAGATTGCTCTGCCACACTAATAGAAACCCAGCAAAGTCTCTCTGTGCTCCTGACAGGGCTCTATTATTTGTCCCTTGGCTTCATTCCTTTTGGTCAGGCACAGGACAGCAGGCACTCAACAAATACTTGGAGAATTGAATTGATATCTTACTGGGAGTGTGGTGTGGAATGGAACAGCTGGACCTGGGAGCCGATTGTCAGAATAGCTCAGTGTCAACTCTGCCCAAACAGAAATCAGTATATTGGCAGTTTCTCATTCCGCAAGTGCCTCTTATGAGCCCGGTTCTTTATATGATGGTGAATAAAACACAGGACTAGCTACGAACACGCAGGGCCATCCATCATCTTAGAGCTCCACTTTAGTCTTCTTCAAAAACTTTATTAGAAGCTGCTGCTACATAAAATCATTTCTGCTCTGAAGTTCTAGCCACCAAAAAACAGTAAAAAATTTTTCTTTGGTATTTTAAAATACTTATTCATGCTGGGTGGTGGTGGTGGATGCCTTTAATCTCAGCACTCAGGAGGCAGAGGCAGGTGGATCTCTGTGAGATCAAGGCCAGCCTGGTCTACAGAACGAGTTCCAGGACAGCTGGGGTATACATAGAGAAACCCTGTCTTAAGAATCAAAATGGAAAAAAAGAGAGACTGGAAAGATGTCTTCCAAAGGACCTAGGTTCAATTCCCAGCACTTATATGATGGCTGACAACAGCCTATAACTCCAGTCCCATGGGATCTGACCTCTAGCCTCCATTGGCACCAGACACATAACTGGTGCACAAACATACATGCAGGCAAAACAGCCATACACATACATTTTTTTAATTAAATAATTTAAAATTTAGGTACTAAAGTAGGTTGGGCTTCTGCCTCAGCTAGGTTCCTCTAGTTTTACAAAAGAAGACGATGAGGGTTGCAGACACGGCTCAGTAACAGAGCTTGCCCAGGGTGTGCAATGGATGTACATTCTATCCCTAACACCATAGGAAAAAGAAAAGAATAATGAGTTGTTGAATGCCTATAGATTTTCCTAAGTCAAAAGGAAACTGCTTAAATTAATCTAGCATGGCTGAGAAAACACCTGCCAGTCAGAGCGTGAGGACCTCTACCATGTTGTTCCTACCAGCTTGATTTGCTGCTGCCCAGGGGGGTCTTCATCTCTGTCATTATTAGTTCCTGATCTTTTTATTTCTTTGAGATAGTTTTGTGTAGGCCAGTGGTAGCTTCAAACTTGCTCTGTAGCTGACAGTGACTTTTAAAACTCCCGATCTTTATGCTTCTCTCTCCCAAGTATTAGGATTATAAGTGTAACCCACCATAGTCACTTTGGTTTTCAAGAAAGGATCTTACTATGTAGCCCAGGCTGGCCTTGAACTTGAGATCCTGTCTTAGCCTCCCTCCCAAGTGGGAAGGATACCAACTAGTGTGAAACTAAGCTCTTCCTTCTTGGTCATGACTTTTGTCAGTTTCTTCTCCCACTACTCTTTGGCTTTCTCTTCCCAGGATGGGCTGTCTCCAGTAATGAAGATGGCAATTTCCAAATAGAGATCAACATCTCCTTCTTCTAGTTAAAACTTTTTGAGATAAGGTCTTTCTATGTAATCCTGGAGATCGCTATGTATACTAGGGTGGCATCGAACTCATACAGATCCTCCTGCCTCTACCTCCTGGGATTAAAGGAGTGGTGGTACTTAAAAAACAGTGCTGGGATTAAAAGAGCATGCCATTACCCTGACTTAGATTCTTTTCTCCTGTGTAGTTGGTAACCCACTCCAGGTCTTCCATACCGTCATCGAGCTTTAATGGTTTTATGGAGACCACTCCAGGCCACTAGTCTCAGCCTTCAACTTTCTGCGTCTTCATCACATCCTTCCTGTGGACTTGGTATCTAAAAGATTCAGGTGTTCCTAATGAATAATCCATGTCCACGAGCACAAACACTTGACAGAATTCAGATGCTGCGTGACTCAGGCTGACATGTCCCAAAAGGTCAGTTATGACTACTACTTTCATTGCTGTTGAAAAGTCTCATGTAGCCCAGTCTGCTCTCAAATTTACTACATTGCTGGGCATGACCTTGACTCCTGATAACCTTGCCTCTACTTCCTAAATGCTGAGTTACAGGTGTGTGCCACTTCGCCCAGAAGACTGCTAATTTTTAGGGCAAGATACTCCCTTTTTCTTTTTTTTCTTACTCTCTTTTTATTCCTCCAAATCATAAATTACCAAAAAAGGAATTTACTTGCATGGCATTTATTAAGCCTCAACTGAAATCAGGTCCTTCGTAGGTTTTACTTTTGAGATAGGATTTCATTATATATAACACAGGCAGACCTTGACTTTATGATTCTCCTACCTCAGCCTTCAGTGTTCACCAGCCACCTAGCATTCCCAGCTATATATCTTTGCATTCTTAACTATGTCCTTTATTTTTTGTTGTTGCTTTGTTTTGTCTGGTTGTTTTTGAGAGTGTTGCTCAAGCTGGCCTCAAACTCACAATCTTCCTGCCTTAGTGTCCTAAGTGCTGAGACTACAGATATGCCTCTTGGCTTTGGCCTCTAACAAAATTTATTTGAACAATGCTTGCTAATTTCATTGTCTCTGCATACAGGCTAATTTCTTCTTTGATTCCTGTGATGAGTACTACATATTCCCAGGCTTTCCTTTGTCCTTTGGCTGCCAGAAATGTAATAACTAAGTCCTGAGGTCTCTGATACATTTCATCTTTTAACCTAGTTAGTTTTTGTTTGTTTGTTTGTTTGTTCTGTTTTTAGAAACAGGGTTTCTCTCTGTAGTCCTGGCTGGCCTGGAAATTGCTCTGTAGACCAGGCTGCCCTCAAACTTAGAGATCAGCTTATCTTCCAAATGCTGTGACTAAAAGTGGGTGCCACCACACCCAGCTTTTGTCTTTTTTTTTTTTTTCTGTATCAGCATTGTCCAGTTTGGTGACCACTAGTCATATGTGACAATTAAGCAATGACTCAACAGGTAGCTAGTTCATCTTGGGATGGGCTCTAAAATAGCTCAGTAATTCCTAATATTGATTGCATGTTAAATATTTTGGATATGCTAAGTTAAATATTAGGATTAACTTCACCCATTTCATTTTGCTGAAATTATAGCTCCTAAAATTATCTATTTACTTATTTATCTGTGTGGACAAGTATATGGAAGTCAGAAGACAATTTTATGGAGTTGATTCTCTCCTATTATATGTTCAGGTTGCCAGCCTTGTGCAGCAAGTGCCTTGACCTGCTGAGCCTTCTCATTAGTCCATATAGTTCCTAAAATCTTGAAATTATGTATCTAAAAATCAGGCTTGCATTTGTGACTTACATTCTCTCTGCTGGACTGCTAGCACTGCTCTACAAGGCATCCTGCTTTGTGAGCAGGTTATTGCTATAAACCTCATCCTTTGGGAAAGCAAGGAAGGCAGGCAGAGGAAGTGACAGCAGGGGCTGGAGTGAAAAGAAGTCTAGCCTAGGGACTTGTCTTTTGTCTACTTGCTTTTTGTTTATGCATTTCATACACACATAACAAACAGCCTTTGCTACAGTGTTTCTCGGCTATCTTCATTCCAGGTGAGTAGCATTCAACAGCTCTTCCTAGTCTCCAGGAAAAACCTGTTCTCAGGTTACTTTACCTAACATATTGGAAAGGATTGGATAAGACACGTCACTCATTACAAATGACTGATAACTTTGTGTTCACCTCTCTCTGGGGGTGTTTCCATTTTAACAGGGAACAATCCCTGAACCCAATGGAATGAATCCCTAATGGTGGAGTTTCAGGCTTCAGTGACAGGTGAGTGAGGGTAGACTCTGGTTTTCTGTTTATATGTGTTGTTACATCCAAGATGTGACTGGAAGTAGGGTTCTCAGATGTAAAGGGCTAATAGACAAGCTGCACAGAAAAGGAAGGTAGCAAATCTCTAGTTGTGTTAGAAAGGGAAGGACTCAGACACCAACCAGATTCAGTGCATGCCTTCAAGGGTTTGTTAAGTAATAGAATAGTGCAGCTGATGTCAACAGAGACTAGGCAGCAAGACAGTCTCCATGGTGACTACTGTGCAGTAGCAAGAGGGCTCTCAGTAGGATTCCAGAGACTATGACTGCTGTCCACAACTGACTCGGCTTAACTCTGGGCAAGTCCTTTACCCTTTGGGTCTCAGTTTCTTCATCTGGAAAATAGAAATAGGTGCTATAGTCATGTGATGGTGCATACCTATAATCCCAGCACTCAGGAGGCTGAGGAAGGTGGATCATTAGTTTGAGGCTAGCCTGGGCTGCATCAGACCCTATGTCAATAAAACAAAACAAAAATCCCCATAAGGAATGGGTGCTATAACTATCAGATAAGTTCTAAGTGTCATGAAGTTGCTCTGAGAAGAAATATACTACACATGAAAGGACCAGTACCTTAAAATGGAAATGCAGCTAGGCAGGCCTAGAGTGGTAGAGTAGAAAGCAGTGTGCAGGGCTGTGGGGAATCCTGAAGGTAGACATTCCATATATGGAACAGTCATTCTTCTCTGTCCTCCCAGGCTGAACCCAGACTCCCAGGGCCCATGCTTCCACCTGATGAATGATGGCCTGAACTATGAGCAAACGGGACTATATGAACACTTCGGTGCAGGAGCCTCCTCTTGACTACTCCTTCAAAAGCATCCACGTGATCCAAGGTCAGTCCACAGAGCATAGCAATCAACAAACACATCATGGTATCAAGCTAGGAAGTACCTAGGAAGAATCCCAGTTTTCTGTTTAAAACGCCTAAACAGATTTTTCCCCAACTTCTTGTTGTCTTTGAAGGGAGAGGGTGAAGTGAGGATTTTTTGTTTTACAGGGCTAGGGAGTGAATGTAAGGACTCTTACATATAGGGCAAATGTTCTATATCTGAGCTTTATTCTCAGCCTTGAGATTAAGAAATACGTATTTTGCCGGGCGGTGGTGGTGGTGCACGCCTTTAATCCCAGCACTCGGGAGGCAGAGCCAGGCGGATCTCTGTGAGTTCGAGGCCAGCCTGGGCTACAGAGTGAGTTCCAGGACAGGCTCCAAAGCTACACGGAGAAACCCTGTCTCGAAAAAAAAAAACAAAAAAAGAAATATGTAGTATTTTAACTTTATGTATGTGGGTGTTTTGCCTGCATGTGTATCTGCACCCCTTGTATGCCTGGTGCAGGCAGAGGTCAGAAGTGGGCATCAGCCCCCCTCAACCTGAGTTAGAGATGGCAGTGAGCCTCCATGAAGGTGCTGGAAATTTGACTGGGTCCTCTGGAAGAGCTGCCAGTGCTCTTAACTGCTGCACTATCTCTTCCAGCTCCCTTGAGATTTATTTTTATTTATTTTATGTGTAGGAATGCTTTTCCTGAATGTATGTATGAGCCCACATGCATGCCTGGTGCCCAAGGAAGTCGGAAGAGGGTTTCAGATTCCCTAGAACTGGAGTTAGGGACTGTTGTGAGGCATCATGTGGATACTGCAAATCAAACCCTGGTGTTCTGCAAAAGCAACAAGTTCTTTGTTTTTTTGTTTTGTTTTGAGACAGGGTTTCTCTGTGTAATTTTGGAGCCTGTCCTGGATCTCACTCCGTAGACCAGGCTGGCCTTGAACTCACAGAGATCCACCTGCCTCTGCCTCCCAGTGCTGGGATTAAAGGCGTGTGCCACCACCACCCAGCAGCAACATGTGCTCTTAACCACTCACCACCCCCTAGTTTCTAAAAGCATCAAATTGGAAAGGAACCAGTGGTCTCTTGTGGTAGTTGACACGTCTTCAAGAAAAGCCAGGCTATAGCAGGAAATTCCTGAAGAATACTAAGAGAAATAGGCTGCTGCCAGGTTCTACCATGGTGGCAAAACCTTGTCTCTTTTGTCTAGGAACATAGGCCTGTTCTGCTCATTGGTAAAACATGAGAGGTCTTTTTTGCAACAAACTGGCATATTCCCAGTTAACATTCTTGACAGACTTCTTCCATTCATTCCACAGATGCCAGATTTATTCCATCATCACTAACATTCACTGTAGTTCCAGCTCTGCCCGCATCCAGTCTGTTTTACTATTCAGTGTCTTCCTAAATAGGCAGCTAACCCCTTTCACGGTGCATGATGAAGCTTTCACAGTACCACATGCTCAAATAGGCAGTTCTGCCACCTCTGCCTTTGGCTACTGTCCTCACAGAACACGTGTACAAACTCACAATCTCAGATATATTATCTGGCTTTGGTTTTCTGTCAGGTAGCCACCCATTAGCTCAAGAGTGTTACTAGCCTGGGTTTTGGTTCAGGGTACTACTTCAGTTAGTTAGTGTCCAACACACTAGTAACTCATGTCTGTCTCTCCCCAGCACATGCTCATCTACCACGACCTTTATTGTGCTTTTTCTGACTGATGTAATACCTATTTCAAAAGGGTTTTAGTTGCAATAATAGCTTTGTGAATGAAAGCCAAAGTGATTGGGGGGTGGAATGTAATGGCTCCTACGGTAGCATAGAAATTTCCAGCATTCAGTACGAAGATCTGATGCTGCTCCTTGTGGACTCCTCAGAATAAGGAAATACACTAGTCAGTTCTACCCAAGGTACCTGTACAGCACAAAATAGAATTTGCAGATGTTACAGACTCCATCCAGCTGTTCAGAATTTACTGAGCATCTATTATTATTATTATTATTGGTTTTTTGAGACAAAGTTTCTCTGTGTAACAGCTATGGTTGTCCCAGAACTCGCTCTGTAGACCAGGCTGGCCTTGATCTCACCGAGATCCACCTGCCTCTGCCTCCCAAGTGCTGGGATTAAACGGGGAAGCCACCACCACCTGGCTGAACTCCTATTATTTATTAAGCAGTTATTTACATATATGTGCAGACATATATACACCAGGCAATTGAACTCCTTGCTAAGTCTGTTAAGGGGTGGCAGAGGGAAAGACTTATTAAACCCAGAGCTCTTTCCTGTTCCCTAGAGCTTCAAAATTTAGAAGTTAAAGAAGGATAGAGTTGAGGGCTTCTTGGGACAGTATTTGCTGAATTAATCAAGGTGTATCACAGAATCTGAGACACCAGTGACTTTACATCTAATTTGGACTCCCTGATCAGGCAGAAGCTTCAGGAGTGTTACCAAACATAGGCTCATCCCATGCACAACCAGTAGCTTGCTATGTGTACTCACAAACACAGTACTAAGGGGGTTCTCCATGTATACCTGCCAGTTCCTTCCATTGTGGAAACTGACAGATGATGCTAAAAGTTCTTCGTATCAAACTGACTCTTTACTTCCAGGCATGTGGGACAACACTGCATGGCAACACACTAGAATTTAGGTAGAGGATCAAGGATTCCCTGCAGTTGGTGCCTCCCAATTTTAATTCTGTTAGTGCTGGTATTTGTGGTCTAGTTTCCAGACCTACTCTGAACTAGGAACCTTTTAACACATGCTCAAGTAATGTGCTACCTTAGTATAGCCTGAAGGGATGGGTACCTATAGCAATTTTAGATGCCCCCTTTTACCCTAGGTAACAAGAGCTCAGGCTTCCTCATATTAAGGCAACTCCATCCAGGGACTCCTTCACAGCATGGGACCAGCCTTTTATGTGACATTAAAGCTTCTACATTATCAGAACAGGTGCTAGTTCATGTGTAGTTATTCTGACATTATCTAAGTCAACTCCTTTTAAAGTTTTTGGAAGGTGTGAGAGGGAGACATGATTTGGAGTCTACTCATGGACAGAAGTACTCTGCTCCATTATCCTTATACCCCCTCTGCCCCCCAGGGCTCAATCTTGGGTCCTGTTCATTCCAAGACTAACGCAGAGAGCCACCTGGAGGATGCCGTCTGACCTGCAGCTGAGAGGAAGTGGTCAGCTGCTGTGTGCAGAGTGCGCTAAGTGCTTTCTCCCTACAGGCCACTTGCTAAAGGCTTGGAGACAGTAGGGAAATGGAACCACTTTAACTAGACTGAAGTCTGGCTCTGGGTCTCCCACTGATGCCATCTTGGGCAGAACCCACCCACCTTCATTATGAACCTCATTTGAAAAAGAAGCAAGGGAGGGATGTGTGTGTGTGTTTTCTCTGCACCCTCATTTTCCAATGTGGGTGTTCAGACTACCTGCTTGCACTTCCTATTCATTTGCACTCTAATTTGGCTTCCGTCCTCAAGCCTTTACATGGCGGTAGCGCACACCTTTAATCCCAGCACTCAGGAGGCAGAGCCAGGCAGATCTCTGTGAGTTCGAAGCCAGCCTGGTCTACAGTGCGAGATTCAGGACAGGCTCCAAAACTACACGGAGAAACCCTGTCTTGAAAAACCAGGACAGGCACCAAAACTACACAGAGAGAGGTTTGTCTCAGGAAAAAAAAAAAAAAAGAAGTAGCTGATAACCATATAAAAGGCTTGAGGACAGAAGCCAGGAGTGAAAATGAATAGGAAGTACAAGCAGGTAGCCTGATGGTTACCAGCTACTTCTGAGCACCAGGGTTAGTGTTGAATCCTTGTCTTTCCTGGAACTTACTCCTCCATATACTGTAGACTCTCCAAACACCTTTAAACTCAGGGGCTTGAGGGATGGCTTAGCAGGTAAGAGCACTGGCTGCTCTCTCAAAGAACCCGGGTTTGATTCCCAGCACCCACAAGACTCACAACCATCTGGAATTCTAGTTCTTGGGAATCTGATGACCTCTTCTGACCTTACTAGGCATGGCACACATACATGCAGGCAAAATACCCATATACATAAATTTTTAATTAAAAATAAATAAAACTGTTCTCTCCTGTAGCTCCCTGTTCTTCAGATTATTTACTAACTTTTTATATCTTTTTATGTCTTTCTCTTCCTCTCTGAGGATTTGCCTGTTTCTCTAATTTATATACTCTGTACTAAAAGTTTGTAAAGCTGTCTCCTCGGCTTTAGACCTTCATTCTAATGCCTACCTACCTCGTTGGCTTCTCTTGCCTTTTCATACAACAGGAACCTCTAGCACACTAAATCCAAACCTAAACTCATTACCTCTTCAATCCAATTTCTCCTGAAATTCTTCATCAGCTAATAGAACCTGAACAAAAACCTGGGCACCATCTTTATATAGCCTTCTACCCTTACATTCAGTCAGCCAAATCATAATTGCTATATCCATCTTGTCTCATGCTAAAGTAGACAAACTAATCTTTGAATTCTATCTACCTTCTAAATCTATATTCTATATTGAAGCTTCAAAGTCACCTTTCAAGTGAAAAGCTGAATTATCTGGTGGGTTTTCTTTTTTCTTTCTTTTTATGTGCATTGATGTTTTGTCTGCATGTATGTCTGTGCAGGGGTGTCAGATCCCCTGGAACTGGAGTCGCAGGGAGTTGTGAGCTGCCATGTGGATACTGGGAATTGAACCCAGGTCCTGTGGAAAAGCAGCCAGTGCTCTTAACCAATGAGCCATTTCTTCAGCCCTCTGATGATTTTTTTGTTTGTTTCGTTTTTTGTTCTTCCTTGTTTTTTCGAGACAGGGTTTCTCTGTATAGCCCTTGCTTTTATGGAACTCACTTTGTAAACCAGGCTGGTCTTGAACTCTTGAGATCCATCTCCCAAATGCTGGGATTAAAGGTGTGTGCCACCACCGCCTAGCTGAATTACCTCTGTTTTAAACACTCTGTGACTTCTCATTACCTATAGGACAAAGCCCAAGGTCTTAGCCTGGCATTTAGGACTAAGGACTGGCTCCTGTCTGCTTTTTGTCTACTTGTGCCCTGTGTATGGTACTGGTGGACATGTGTCTCCATCCTGCTCTCTTCTTGTCCCTTCTCCCTCCTTTGCCCGGTTAACGCCTCTTAATCTACCAAGTCCAGCTCACATGCCGCCTTGCCTGCGCTCTCAGGGCACTGAGACCCTTTCCTTGCTGCAGTGACTGTGGACTGTCACACAAACTCACTGCCAGTTTGTTTCCCTCCTGCCCACAGAAATTCCTCTGAGAGACATATGCTTCATCCCTGCCCTACTGCTCATCCAGAGCCTGGCACATTCTCTCTCATTGTTTACTACTGTGTATCTATCTGATAAAGCTTGTAATTAATGGAGGAAAGGAAGGACACTGGATGTGCTCCACTGAAGTGAATTCTCTAAGCTATTATATTATACTAGAAGAGGATTCTGCACTTTGTGATGTCATCTTGGTCTACCCGACAACTCTGGTTCTTACTTCCCTTATCTGTGAAATGGGAAGAAGTCTGCTCCACTAATGGGTGATATACATGGGATCCACTAATGCAAAGGACATGAGAAGGCCATCTGACCTAAACTTCTTTAGCCCTTACTCCAGACTTACTCTGATCTTTGGAGCTTGAGACAGGGAGGATCTCACTAGACTCTAGTGCTGGGGCCCTGCCAAAGCCTCCAAGTAGCTCCTGAATATTCATCTTTCCAGCTCTTCCTACTCACTCCCTAAAGGCAGAAAAGCAAAAATGATGAGCCCAAGCCTTGGGCTAGAGTGATGGCTTGGAGGTTAAGAGCAGTTGTTGTTCCTACATAGGCACCAAGTTCAATTCCTAATGCTCACATGGTGGCTCACAACCACCCCTAACTCCAGTTCTAGGCGATCTCACACACTCTTCTGACAGACTTCTGCAGACACCAGGCATGCACATGGTGCACATACATACAGGCAAACCATTCATACACATAGAAGTTAAAAATCTAAATAAACAAACAAATTCAAGTCGTATTTTGTCGTCATAGATCTGGTAAGCGAGGAGCCAAGGACAGGTCTACGACCAGTGAAGCACTCAAAGTCAGGAAAGTCACTGACCCAGTCCCTGTGGCTCAACAACAATGTCCTCAACGACCTGAAAGACTTCAGCCAGGTGGTTACACAGCTTCTGCAGCACCCAGAGAACCTGGCCTGGATCGACCTCTCCTTCAATGACCTGACTTCCATTGACCCTGTGAGTTCCTAGCCCTGGACATCTAGTCAAGGGCTAGCTTGAAGCCACTGTGTCCTTATCAAGGAAGCAGAGGCAATGTGGTACAGTTCAAAGGATATTGTTGCAGAGATACATAGTTGTAGGCACAAATCTTTAGTTTCCCCCTTATTATGTGACTGTAAATAACTTCTTTGTTTTGTTTTTTGAGACAGTCTCACTATGTATCCCTAGTTGGCCTGTAACTCACTGGCCTTTACTTAGAGAGATCCACCTGCCTCTGGGAGTCTCACAGGCTACATAGTTTCTTTTTTCTTTTTTTAAGATTTATTTACTTATTTATTTATTATGTATACAGTGTTCTACCTGCATGTATCCCTGCAGGCCAGAAGAGTGCACCAGGTCTCATCACAGATGGTTGTGAGCCACCATGTGGGTGCTGGGAATTGAACTCATGACCTCTGGAAAAGCAGCCAAGAGCAGCCTGTGCTCTTAACCTCTGAGCCATCTCTCCAGCCCCGCTACATAGTTTCTTAAAACTTCAGCCTTCCTATAAATGGGGATAAGATGCCATAATCATAATGGTTTTATAAGGATTCAATGAAAATGTGTGAGAACCACCTTGCCTATCAGTGGCTGGAGCAAGCCTATAGCAGTCGTCACTAGGACTCAACTGTGCTTTGTGCTGAGCTCCACTGGGGAGGCGGCAGTGGAAAAGGACATCAGTTGTTTTCTGTGAAATCTAAGTTTTAAAAACATAGTTTGGCCAAGTATGCTGGTGCTTGTTTGTAATTCTAGCACTTGGAAGGTAGAGGTAGGAAGATGAGTTCAAGGTCATCCTCAGCTACATAGTGAGCTTGAGGCCTGCGTGGACTACATGAGAAAGGATAAGGAAGAGAAGGAAAGAAGATAGAAAAGGAAGCAAACAAGGAAGAAAAAAATTAGAAAAAGGAAAGATCTGGAGCATGATTTGGAGACTGTTCCTCTGCAATATACAATAAGAACTCAACTAGGATCTTCAAAGCTTATATGCCGAGCATTGATACTCCCCTGCAGGCTTGGAATGATGGGTCATCACAGTTGGAGAGGCCTTAAGGGGCAAATAAGTCTTAAGGAGAAGGAAAGCTGTCACCTGACCAGTCAAATGGATAGCTAGATGGATGCCAGCTCTCTTTTAGGTTTTGTCCTCCTGGTAAGAGCATTTGTTGCTCTTGCAAGAGGACCCAAGTTCACTTCCTCGCACATACATGGTGGTTGACAACCATCCATAGAACTCTAGTTTCACCAGGCTCTTGTATGGGGCACAGACGTACATGCAGGCAAACACTTATGCACATAAAATAAGGGCTAGAAAGATGACTCAGCAGTTAAGAGCACTTGTTGCCCTTCCAAGGACCTGGGTTCAATTCTCAGCACCTACATGGTGGCTCACAACTGTCTGTAAATCAGGGTCCAGGGAATCCAATGGCCTCCGAAAGCACTAGGCATGCATGTGGTGTACATCCATACACGTAGGCAAAATACCCATACACATAAAAGAATAATTATTTTTTAAGTAACAAAAAACTAGAGTAACAAATACTAGAGTCATCTAGAATGCCGTGAAGGGTGCTGAGGGGGGCCAAGTTGTTCTCCAGACTTGTCTCCAGACTCCAGATAGTCTAGTCTATCTGAGCAGAGATCCAGTCTTTTTTTTTTTTTTTGGAGCTGAGGATTGAACCCAGGGCCTTGCACTTGCTAGGCAAGCACTCTACCACTGAGCTAAATCCCCAACCCGAGATCCAGAGTCTTTGGCCAGCCTGACTTTTGATTTCTGCCCTAACAGGTCCTAACAACATTCTTCAACCTAAGTGTCCTCTACCTTCATGGCAACAGTATCCATCGCCTAGGGGAGGTGAACAAGCTATCTGTCCTCCCTCGTCTCCGGAGCCTGACCCTCCATGGGAACCCCATAGAGGAAGAAAAGGGGTATAGGTAAGTTCTTGGAGCTGGGGTCCAGATTCGCCTCCCTAAGGAACAAGGGGAGGGAGACAAACTTAAGACCACTCTTCTCCCACATGTGGACGCAGGAGGAAGGGGCAGACCTCTAAGCACTCCCCTTGCTCTCAGAATGATCCCAGTCTTCCCAAATCACAGCCAAGCTCCCCTCCATTCAGAAGCGACAGCAGCAACTGGTAGAGGGGGAGGGAGTTCCAGTGTGGGGGCTCACCCCCAGCTCAAGTCTTCCCCACAGGCAGTATGTGCTATGCAACCTGCCCCGTATCACCACGTTCGACTTCAGTGGAGTCACCAAGGCAGACCGCACCACAGCCGAAGTCTGGAAACGCATGAACATCAAGCCCAAGAAGGTCCGGATCAAGCAGGATGTACTCTGAAATTCACAGGACCCCAGCACACCTAATGCCCTGAGGATGATCAGCTTGGTTTGACAATAAATGATTTAAGCTGTTCAGCAAATTAAAGTTCCCTGCACCTTGTAAGGATGCCTTCCATGCCCAGCAACTACCAGTAAAACTTCAGAGTGGAGGCAAAGGCCTACTGGCTTAGGACCCAGGAACCTGGTGTTGCCATGCAGGAAACTATCCTCATTGGGCCCCTTTGTACTCTTTAGCCTTCAGATAAGGGAATAGAGTAGATTAGCAATTTGAAAAAAAAAAAAATTTTTTTTAAAAGAGATTCTAACTCTAGCCCATGCTAGCCTTGAACTTGTAACAATCCTCTTGCTGTAGTCTCCTGAGTGCTGGTATTAACAGGAGTAAGCCACCATGCCTCACCCAAAATCTTCATAAAGTGCCAAGGTGTGCAGAGCTGCCATCAGCCTCTAGAGTAGGGCCAGAAAATAGCTGTGATCTATTTCTATTAGAGCAGAGTAGTTTTACTCTCAGGTTGTGATTCTGGTTAAGATTTCATTTCCTAGTGGGTGGTGGTAGCACATACCTTTAATCCCAGCACTAGAGGCAGAGGCAGTCAGATCTCTGTGAGTTCAGGGCCAGCCTGGTCTACATGGTGAGTTCTAGGCCAGCCAAAACTACATAGTGAGATCCTGTCTAAAAAAAAAAAAAAAATCATTTCCTGAAAAGAATAACCATCGGAGTATGACCTCCTCCCACCCTCCCACTCCTAGGGGCTATGTGTAAGCCTACTGAGTCTGAGGCAAGTCTCCAACAGTCACAGCTGCCTCCGGTTCAAGTCTGTACAGCTGTGACAGTGTTACCATCAGTAGAGAGGGGGAAATGAATGGTCTCATCCTACCTAAGGTTACCCAACACTATATCAGCTAAGACCTGGCAACCTTGAACTTTTATCTCCTGGATTCCTCCTTAATGCTGCTGAAGACATTCCTCTGCATCTCACTTCTCACAAACTTGAATAGCCAAAATAAATAGTGGAGTGGTGGGCAGGACAGAGCAGGTTGAACCAGCAACACAAATGAATATACTTCCTTTATCGAGGGGTGACAAACAAAAACAAAAAGACCAAACATGTAAAAACCCAGGGTGCTAGAAATACAAACTCAATTCAGATTCAAGCTCATCTAGACCCTGGTCGTAATCCCTAGTGAGGTGCCTCTGAGCACCAAGTCAGGGAAGGGGACAGGAGTGAATTGGAGGCCAAGAGAAAGGGTGGGAAGGGGATCCCCTAGGTCTCCCGGTGTTCACCCCTACAGGGGTATCTCCATCTTCCCAATGACTGTGCAGATCTGCCAGGCCCTGTCCTCTTGGCCCAACCTCACCCCAGCCAGGACTTGAAGGCCGGTGGCGATCGGTTCTCCCCCCTCGCTTAGTCCTCACTTGCTCAGGCTTCTAGCCTTATTCTTTTCCTCCATATTCTTCTCCGTGATTAGTAGCAGGTTAAGTACTGTAGAAAGCCACAGTGAGGCTGGGGGCCAGAAGAGGTGGGGTGGAGACGGGATGGAGAGGAGGGAAGAGCTGTCCCAGGACCCCTCTCTTCATGGGATCCCAAACTGAACAACCAGCTCTTCTTTCGCGTCCACACGGATCTGAGAAAGTGCACTGTAGGCATAAGCAGCTATCCTGGAGACCTGAGACAGGAGCCAGGGAGGAAAAGAACAGACATGAGAGGGAGAGCTGGGAGAGCAATAAAGAAAAGGCCTGAGGAGGGACTGAAAGCCAGAAAGAACTGGGTGTGGTGGTGCTTGCCTGTAATCCCACTACTCAGGAGGCTAAATCAGGAGGGTCACAAGTTCAATTGCCAGCCTGGGCTGTAACAGTGAGTCCTCTCAAAAAACAAGGGTTAGGTTGTAGCTTACTGGTAGAACACTTGCTTAGCATGCACCAAGTCCTGGGTTTTATCTTTGGAAGGAAGTGAGAGAGAGGAAGAGGGAGGGAGAAGAGTGGGGAGTGGACAAAAACAAGGGCAGATGCTGGGAAAGTAAAGGCTACGGGGAAGAACTAAGACGGCTATGAAGACTAAGAGAACAAGGTGGAAATACGCTGGGCTCACCAAGTGCCAGGCTCCCTCCCTCCCGTGAAGCAGTGTGGGAAGGGGGCGGGGACAGGCCCGGAGTGCTCACCTGCTGCAAGTCCGAGAAGGGGATGGGCTCGCTGGCCAGCACTTGGTGGGGCTGGCTGGTGAGAGACGGCAGCGGCGGCAGCTTCTTCCAATGGGTCAGACTGCTGCTAAGCACAGCCAAGCGAGTACTGGCCAGGAGGGAGGGATCATGGAAGGACAATTAGGCCAAAGCTTGCCCTGTCCTGTCCTGCCCTGCCCAGGCAAGCTTCACTCCCTCAGGCCAGGGGACCATGGTGACAGGGTACAGCTCATCACCAACTCACTTGACTGTACTCCTTTGGCCTGGTCACCCTTGATCAAATGTATTGGGCACACAGGGCTGACTTGAATGCCTGAGGCATCTAAGGGATCTGTAGTCAGTTTTCTGGGCTGCACCCAAATGAAGAGCCTGGACAGGGGACCAGACTCCAAAGCTAGAAAGGAATGACTAGGAGGCTGGCCCTGTGCTCACCTGTACTGCCTTGCCCGGTCCATGTACTCATGCTGCTCCATGCCCTGGGAGTCTGCAGCAGACACATCGATGATGTTGCTTTGAAGAGAAGAAAGAGAAGACATGACAAGTGCTTCGGAGAGGCACAGACAAGAATCAGTGCTAGGTGCCAAGTCCAATGCTATCTAACACTAGTACTCCCTCCCACCTGCCCATTGTAACAGGGCAGAACCCAGAGGCATCTCTCCCTAGTGACCTTGTCCTATCCCAGAAGCCTGGCTGCCTCTGCCCCAGCCTGGTCCTATGACACTCACCTAGCTGTCTTGGCAAGGATGGAAGAAAGCAGGGCCTGCTCATCTGTGCGAGCTGAAGGTAGGCTGTGGTAGTTGGGCTCGGCTCCATTGAGGGCTTTGGTGGGGGTGCTACTGGGGTCCAGCAATAGCTTCCGCTCCTCCCGATCCTAGCAGAGGCCAGTAGAGAAAAGTCAGCCCCAGGACCTTCATTTCTTCTCATAGGTCCTCTCCTCAGACCAGCTCTGACCTTTAAATCCTAAAACTATTTTTATAAAGAGAACTGAAGTATCCAGATGGATCCAAAGTCAAAAAACATTCATTCTCTGACTGATCCAAAGTCAGTGGTCTAGGATGAACCTAGAGAACCTGAAAAATTCAGAGAGGAACAAAGCAGGCATTCCACAACAGTCCTGGAGCCTCAGTGAACTGGTCAAACACCTACTGGACAAAGGTTATTGGAAACCAAGTCAGAGGAAGTGGGAAAGTATCAAAATAAGGGTACAGAGGAGAAATCAATACAAGTCAGAACCCAAGAACAGCCTTCCTGGTTCCCTGGATCAAGTACTACCCAGCAAAGATGCTGGCCCCCAACATCGTGAGGCCCTGGTGAGGCCAGACAAGGCCCTGGACCCCAAGAGAAAGCAGGCCCATCGTATCTTGTCATTCCTCACGTTACCTTAGTGCAGAAACTCCAAGCCCACAACTTAGACACAACCACCAATAACCTCTCTTCTTCTTTCTCTCCAGGATCTTTGTAAAGCCTCCACAAGAAACACAACTCACACATGCACACAACACAGTCTTTCTATGTTCCCCAGGATGCCCTAGTACTATATAACCAAACTGGCCTGGAACTTGCCAGTGTCCAGCCTCTACCTCCCCCAGTGCTGTGATTACAGGTATGTTCTGGGTGTTCTTTTCTCCTCTCAGGCGTTCACCTCCTGTGGCCTGGTACCTATTATATGCTGAACTCAGAGCAACAGTACAGCTGTTTCTCCCTGCCAAACTACACTCTTTGCCCAACACAGCCTCCTCAGTCTTTAGCAGCCCTGCTACTATTAGCCTGTATAGACAAGCACAACCACCAGAACTGATCTAGAACTAAACCAAGTCTCCATCTTCTGGAACTGTATTTTCCTTGTCCTGGTTCAGGCCCTGGTTCTAATCTACTGCCTTCTAGGCTCAACACTGCCTTGAGTCCATCAACTGCAGATCTCTGCTGGTTTTGTGTCAGGTGCAATCTGGATAAGCAGACCTGCTGGATGTCTATTCAGTCCATAGAAAGCTAGGACAGGCCACTTGTGAAGGAGTATAGTGTGAAGGAGGAGGGGAGTGCTAGCCAATGCTGACCCATCAACCTTAGTGCTCAACTGCCAGCCTCAGCACTCTCCTCCCAGCCTGGAGAGTTCCTACCAGTTCCCCTGCTGCAGGAGCCAGCTTCCCTTGCCCAAACTCTCCCTCCAGAGAGCTACTTCCTCCTGGTCTTGCCTGCCCCACCCCAGACAGGCTCAACCCTTCCACCTTGCTCTTCCTCCTCAGGCCATTTGACCCAGTTCACCCTGGCAAAAGGAAGCATCTGTGGCCTTCTGCCCCATTACCTCTAGGTTCCCAGACATTCTTTCTCCTTCCTCAGTATTAACAGGCTAGAAAGATAAAGTGTTTGTCAAAGATGAAAGGCTCTGTAAGGAAAGCTGGCTCATAATGAGACTCAAAAATATTTTCTATGCCTGCTTTTCCCAGCCCCATTCCTGACAAATCTTCACCCCCATCCCATCAGGAGTTCAAGAACAAGGTTGTGTTTCTAATTTCCTGAAGAGGCCCAGCAACTCCAAAGAGCAGACAAACTGAGCTAAGAGTAGTGATGCACACCTTTAATCCCAGCACTCCGGCAAGGCAGGAAGATCTCTGAGTTAAAAACAGCCTGGTCTACATAGCAAGTTCCAGGCCAGTCAAGGCTTCATAGAGATATGCCCCCCCCCCCCCGCCCCCCGCCCCGCCGCCGCCGCCCAAAAAAAAAGTTAACATAACCTGACACCCAAAGAATGAGTGGTACATGGGCTAAGTTTGTCATATCAAAGTTTGCCTCCCAAGCCAATACAGCCTGAGTCAAGATTTCACTATCTACTTTAGCATAGACCCATGGTGTCTGCCCACAACGGAGTACCTCAGAGCTTCTCCCAGCACATGAAGCACATGTCTTGTGCTTACAAACACCTTGGCTAGAGTACTTCTAAGGTTAGCTAAATCTTAGATCCTCTGAACTTTTCCCTCAGTTTTAAACAGATGTTAACTCATATGACCGGTCAATGTAAAAGCCTTCTGAAGACCATAATGTTTGTACATTCTCTTTCTTTGAGACAGAGACTCATTGTGTACCTCAAAACTGGCCTAAAACTCACTATGTAACCAGACTGACCAAACTTGAAGCAGTTCTCCTTTTCAGCCTCCAAAGTGTTGGGATTCTAAGCGTAAGCCAACAGGGATGGCTTTCTTCTTATACTAAAGGGTCAGACCGTGATGAAGATAGGAGGGCCTACTTAAGAGGGGACTGGGGATATGACCGTATCAGTACAGCACATTGGTACAGCACATGCCCAGCAAGCATAAAGCCCTGGGTTTGATCTCCACTACTGCATAAACTGGACATGGATGGCACAAACTTGCGATCCCAGCACTCAGGCAGAAGCAGGAGAATCAGAAGTTCAAGGTCATTCTCAACTACATAGCAGGTCTGCCAGTCTGGGCTACATGAGACCTTGTCTCAGCCAGAGACAAGACTCAAACAAGGGGAAGGTAGAATTTTGGGAGAGAAGCAAGTCCAGCTCTCCCTCCTAGAAGTTTGGTATCCTTTCCCCATAAAAGACCACATGCTTTAAGAGACATTTTCCCTCTAGGCAGGAATACTGCCCTCTCCTTTTTTTGATGTTTTGTGGTGGGTTCCTGTTTTTGCTGTTCTCTCCGTTAGCAGGTCAGGATGAAGTGAAAGATTCTTGCCACAGGGCATGTCAAACTCAGGTCAAATAACCTGATCAGGAACCACTCACACTGCCATACAAATCACATTTTCCTAAACTGAAGTTCTTAACCCAAAGTACCTTCACTGGGGAAAAAACAACTTCCCAAGTACAGTGATAGCACTTATTTCTCTGACTGTATCCTCCACTAGACTGAGTGAAACTGTTCTTTATGGCTCGGTGCCTACTGTGTATAGAAAGCAGAACTCAGGCTTTGAGGCAACTATAAAAGGTATGGCCAGTGGCCTGAGACCCAGCCTTGCAAGTCTCCCCTCCTCAAAAGTGGTCAGGCAAAAGGACAGGGATTGTGGTATGGAGAGAAATGAGAATGCACCAAGGGAAAGATGGAAAATTTAAAATACAAAACACTAAGTCTCTCCAAGCTACTGTTTTCTCGCAAGGAAAAACTCTACAGTCACATTTTTCAGAGAGGCACTCTCTAGTTAGAGGAACCTTCAGGCACAGGCAGGAACAGCAAGCCAAACTCAAACAAATGAGCTCACTATCCCTTCTTTCCTCTACATGGATCAAAGCTAAACTCTATTGCTTCCCTGAAGTCCCGATGTCTTCACTCTATTAAATTCTTCACTGGCCAACTCAAACGCCACCAACTTCCAGAGGCCTTCCGACACTAGGCCAGCAGTGACATTACATCTTTAACACCAGTAACAGAACATACACAAATTTCTGATTTATTTCGGGAGACTAAGCCTCAAATTACCTATCTCTAGAATGGGTTCGTAAAGTCCTTATACAATCAGCAGTGAAGGCACAGGAATCCGAGAAAGCAAATGCTTCCCAGAAACCCAGTCTGAGGATTCAGGCTGTCAAAGTACGAGGGTACTGGAAAGTGGAGGGGGAGGGGCCGAGGCAGGCGGCCGGCGGCGTAACCCTAGGCTGGAGTAAAACTAGATCTTTAAGAGGGTAGGAGCCCGGCTTGGCGTCCTCTGTAATCTGTCCCCTCCAGGCCTCCGTACTCAGCGAGCCTGCAGTCCAGCTCCCGGCCGCTGCGGGCTTTTTTCTGGGCCCCACGTCCCGCGGTCGTAGCCCACAGTCCCAAACCCCGCCAGCCGCGGCCGCACCTGGTCCGAGTCCTCGTTTTCGCTGCTATAGCAGCACCCCATGGCGGGGTCGGGCCGGGCGCTCAGGCGGCGCCGAGGAGGGACGGCGTCCGTCAGGAGCCTTTCCGGTCACATGACCCGGGGCTGCCTCTCGCTCCCCTCCCCCGCCTAGCCTGTCCCAAAGTCTCTCGGGCACCACAGCCAAATCTCGGCTTCCGGTCCCGCCCCTCCGCGTGACCATCACCAACCAATGGAAAAGCGCGTCCTACGTGACAGGCCGCGTGGCACGTGATTCGAGAGGAGCGTCACATGATTTTGTTGTCCCAGTCTCTAGCTCTGAGTCCTTTCGTCCCCTGGCCGGAGTGCGAGTTGAGTGTGTCTGATCACATGGTGTCAAGGCCACCTTTGTGGGCCCGAGATCTGTCACGATTAACTCTTCAGTGCCACGAGAGGGGCGAGTAGCATCGTGGAGTTGAATTGGATGTGCTTAACTCGGGAGCTATTTGACTGTGTGTGTGTGTGTGTGTGTGTGTGTGTGTGTGTGTGTGTGTGTGTGTGTGTGTGTGTTGGATGTGCTTAACTCGGGAGCTATTTGACTGTGTGTGTGTGTGTGTCCGTGTGTGTGTGTCCGTGTGTGTGTGTGTGTGTGTGTGTGTCCGTGTGTGTGTGTGTGTGTGTGTGTCCGTGTGTGTGTGTGTGTGTGTGTGTGTGTGTGTGTCCGTGTGTGTGTGTGTGTCCGTCCAAGGCCTCACTATGTAACCCTAGCTGGTCTAAAATTCGCTGTGTAGACCAGGCTGGCCTCGAATTTAGAGAGCCGCTTGCCTCTGCCTTTCGAGTGCTAGGATTAAAGGCATGTGTCACTATGCCCGGCAAAACTGTATTTTTATTTATTTTGAGTACATATATGAGTGTGAACACATGTGTCATGGTGCACATATGGAGGTCACGGAACAACTTGTGGGAGTTGGTTTTCTCTTTCCACCATATGGTTCTTAGGGATTGAAGTCAGGTTGTCAGGCTTTCTGGCAGGTGACTTCTAGCCACTGAGCCATCTTTCTAGTCCCTTATTTGGCAGTTTCTTGATTAAGGTGAATTCGGCCTGTGCAGGCAAATGGCACACACTCCTCCCTCCAAATCAGAAATTACAATCTTCAAAACCCAAATACACATCTTCCTGTTTGCCTTTTCTGATCCTATTCTGAGCACCTCTGTCTCTACTTAATCCGATGGCATTCAGTTACTAAATTAGCAAATGTTAGGGCTAGAGACAACTCAGTGACTAGGAGCACAGGCTGCTCCTCCAGGGGACCCAAGTTCAATTCCAAGCATCCACCACATGGTGGTTCACAGTCATCTATAACTCTAGTCCCAGGATAAAAGACACCCTCTTCGGCCGGGTGGTGGTGGCGCACGCCTTTAATCCCAGCACTGGGGAGGCAGAGCCAGGCGGATCTCTGTGAGTTCGAGGCCAGCCTGGTCTACAAAGCGAGTTCCAGGAAAGGCGCAAAACTACACAGAGAAACCCTGTCTCAAAAAACCAAAAAAAAAAAAAAAAAAGACACCCTCTTCTGGCCTCATACACGTACAGGGTGCACAGACACACATGCAGACCAAACATGCATATATATAAATTTAAAACAAACTCCAAAGGCTGGAGAGATGGCTCAGAGGTTAAGAGCACTGGCTGCTCTTCTAGAGGTCCTGAGTTCAATTCCCAGCAACCACATGGTGGCTCACAGCCATCTATAATAAGATCTGGTGCCCTCTTCTGGTGTGCAGGGAGAACACTGTATACATAATAAATCTTAAAAAACAAAACAAAACCACAAATATTTACTGCCTACAGTGTGCCACTCCCTCATAATTGTTGAATTCCCTAGTCTGGTGATCACAGTGTATTTTATTGTTTCTGACTTAATCTCTTCTATCAAATGTGAGCCACTGAAAGACAGGGACAGAGTCTAACTCCTCTTTGTGACCTATGCCCTAACACTTACTTACAGAAAACTTGGATTTTGAACTGAATATATAAGTCTCAATTATTTTGGCTTATATCAATCATGCCCCATGTCCTGATCCCAAGGGGTTGGAGAAGTCACCAGACCTAGCAGCTTTTATTCATTCTTCAAATCAAGACCCTAGAGTTTTGCTAAGTTTCTCTAGGGTTCCTGGGGTGGGTGTGCAGGGGAAGGCAGCTGAAGTTTGTCCCTGGGCCTGGTAACCCGAACTGCAGGTCTCAGGTAACAACAGCCTCAGCATCAATAATTGAAATCAGGTCCAGCCTCCTTCTTCAGGGTTATTCCTCTCAAGGACTTCCAATTCCGGTACTCTGGTCTTTCCTAGGAGCCTTCAGCCCAGGTAAGCAGGGCCTTGTGGGTTTTCAAGCACACCAATTCATTCCCAAATCACAAACTTCTTCACATTCATTCATATACTCTAAATTTTAGCTTACACTCCCTTTCCAACCAAGGGTTTTGCATAAATAGCTTGCCAAGGTCAGATGTGGGCAGGGGAGCAGTGGGAGAAAAAAGGACAGCTATCCCCTATATAAGGTCCTGAGAAGAAAGCTGAATGGTGTGAAAAGTGGGGTGTGTGCATGTTTCACATATAAAGCAAATTCTTAGTGGAGGGGAATACAAAAGATGAAACAGGACTGGAGAAAATACATAGAACCAAGGAGGATGAACATCTCAAGAGCAGAGCAGACAGGAAGAGCTCTTGGATGGAAAAAAGACAGTCCAGCCTAACATGGTATAGAGGGTGAATTTATTTTTCAGACAGGGTCTCAAATGTAGACCAGGTTGGCTTCAAACTTGAGATCCTTCTACCTTGACCTTCCTCATGATGAGATTACAAGTGTACACCAAAATACTATGATAGTATTTATTTTTAAAAGATTTTATTCTATTTTATATGTATGCATGCTTTGCCTGAATGACTTCTGTGCACCATGTGCAATGCAGTGCCTGCAGAGACCAGAAAAGGGCTTCAGATCCCCTGAGACTGAAGTTACAGACAGTTGAGAGCAACCAGATGTGGGTGCTGAGAAACTTTGAAGAGCATTCAGTGCTCTTAACCATTGAGCCATCTCTCCAATTTGTTTTGTTTTTGCTGTTAAGATTTTGTGTTTTGCTTATACTCATGTTCATCACTGTGTGAGCCCTTGAAGGTCAGAAGAGGGGTTGGATCTCCTGGAACTGGGGTTATAAATGTTGGTGAGCCACCATGTGAGTGCTGGGACTGAACCGAGGTCCTCTGAAGAGCAGCAAGTCCTTTTAACCATTGAGCCATCTCTCCAGCTGTAGGCAGTGTTTTGATACCATTTACTGAAGCAGAGCATAGTGGGAGTGTGAAGTGATTTGAACACAATGCTTTTTTCTGTTGTTTTTTGGTTTTTAATTTTTGTTTTTAGTGTGTGTGTGTGTGTGTGTGTGTATGTGTGTGTGTGTGTGTGTGTGTGTGTGTGTGTGTGTGTGTGTGTGTGTGTTTGGTTTTCGAGACAGGGTTTCTCCATGTGGTTTTGGTTCCTGTCCTGGATCTTACTTTGTAACCAGGCTGGCCTTGAACTCACAGAGATCCGCCTGGCTCTGTGCCTCCTGAGTGCTGGGATTAAAGGTGTATGCCCGGCAAGCTTTTCTCTTTGGCTACACTATAATGAATGGATCAGAGTATGGTGGCAGGAAGATACCCCAAGAAACTGATGAAAAAGGTCCTGAAGAAGAGTGATGTTAGGGAAGTCAAAAAGTGGGTGGGGATAGGGAACAATATAGAAATGGATCTCCAGTCATGACTAAAAGAGATATAGTTGAGGTAGGGTGGGCTGGAGGGGTAGCTCAGTCGTTAAAGGCTAGGCTCACAACCAAAAATAGTTGAGGTAGGGTGCTAAACACAGGCATGGAAAGTGCATAGGCTGGATTCAAATTCCAGTTCTGCTGTGTCTCTGGCAAAAGTCAGCCTCTCTCAGCCAGTTTCGATAAGAGTTGCAACTGATAAAGGCTGCACAAATGACAGGCAAATGGTACATGTAGGTTTCCCTCCCAGCCTCCCTCTATCCTAGGACCCAGGTAGGGACAATGTCCCCTGCCATTGCACTGGCATTCCTGCCACTCGTGGTGACGCTGCTGGTGAGATACCGGCATCATTTCCGACTGCTGGTGCGTACAGTCCTGCTAAGAAGCTTCAGGGACTGCCTGTCAGGACTTCGAATTGAGGAGCGGGCCTTCAGCTACGTGCTCACCCATGCCCTGCCTGGAGACCCTGGTCACATCCTCACCACTCTAGACCACTGGAGCAGCTGCTGCGAGTACCTGAGCCACATGGGCCCTGTTAAAGGTCAGTGTCCCCTTCCTTAGCCTTCTGTTTCAGAAATAATCCCAAGATGGTGAAGAAAGATCTGGCATTACCCACTGCTTTACTGGGTAAATAGGAAGCTTCATGATTGTGTTTATGACTTTTTTTTTCATTTGGAAATGAGAAGCCTGGACCAAGATATTCAATTATCCAGCAGACATTTATTGCCACTCTTTTGTACCAGGTGCTGAGGGAGGAGGTAGAAGTCACAGAGGGTGAACCAGCCACAAATGCTGGCCTCAAAGAGCATAACACAGGGGAATAATCATAACTCAGAGCTTTGTAATGATCTGTTCTAGACTTTCTTCCCTACCAGAGACTTCCACATCTAATTCAGGACAGCTGTCTGCTTAGACAGCACAGTATTTCTAAGTATTAAGACGTGTATCCAATTCCAAAATCAAAAAGTCAACGAGCAATAGGGTAGTGTAGGGATTTGAGTATGAAACTGAAAATGTCTCAGGAATCTGGAAGGTGGGGTGGTTGTTTTTGCCTGGGCCCTCCTGGAGGAAGGAACATTTAAACTGAGTCTAGAATGCCTGGATTCAAGTTGGCCAGGTGGATGGAGACAGGAGTGGGAAAGGGCAGTCACCCTGTCAGCCTCATCTCTAAATACAACAGGAAGAAAGCACAGCAGCATGTTGGATTCTGGGCACACCCATTATGGATGCTTTCTACAACAGCCATCTTGCCCCATAGGTCAGATTCTGATGCGGTTGGTGGAAGAGAAGGCCCCTGCCTGTGTGCTGGAGCTGGGCACCTACTGCGGATATTCTACACTGCATATCGCACGCGCTTTGCCCCCTGGGAGTCGCCTTCTCACTGTGGAGCAGGACCCTCGTACAGCAGCAGTGGCTGAAAAACTCATCCGGCTGGCTGGCTTCGATGAGCAAATGGTCAGACTCCCATCTCCCCAAAGCTGGTCTCTCCTCAACTACCCCAGGAATTGCTCTAGCCAGGCCTCTTTTGTGAGGGCCTCCCATTCAAGGAAGCAGCTCCATTCAGGCAGCTGGCATACTGGAGGGCATGTAGCTCCTACCCCCTCAATCCAGAGTCATTTGCTCTTATTTCCTACTGGACTATGAAAGCAGCAGCTAAGAGGAGGCTCCCCATAGCCAAGCAAACCTGAGTCCAAAGCTTACTGTTCAGTTAGTTGTGTGACCTCAGGTAAAGCACATATCCTCTGATTCTCAGCTTCTTCATGGACACATAATGGAAATTACAATAGTGATGCTGACTTCTGGATTTCTGAGGCCAGAGGAAATGTGAGACACTCATGAGGGCCTAGACCTGTGCCTGGCATGACATCAGCCAGATCCCGAGGGGTCTGGAGTGGGAAAGCATTCCTCCTTATTCTCACCTTCGCTATGGCTTTCCCCACAGGTGGAACTCATTGCGGGAAGCTCAGAGGAAGTGATCCCACGTCTAAGAGCTCAGCACCAGCTGAATCGGGCAGATCTGGTGCTCCTGGCACACCGACCTCGATATTACTTAAGGGATCTGCAGCTACTGGAGGCCCATGCTTTGCTTCCAAATGGTGCCACAGTATTGGCTGACCATGTGCTTTTTCCTGGTGCACCCCGCTTCCTACAGTACACCAAGAGCTGCGGCCGCTATCGCTGTCGCCTCCACCACACCAGCCTCCCAGACTTCCCTGCCATCAAGGATGGCATAGCCCAACTCACCTATGCTGGACCTGGCTGAGATTCAGAACCTGGGATATTTACTGATACAATCCCAACCCCATTCAAGCAAGGACCTCAGAATATCCCCTTTCCCTTTTTGTTTAGTGTCCAGTATTTGCTAGGTTCAGGCTGGGGAGGCTTTCTTCTCAACTTTGCCCGACCCCATCCTCCATACCGATCCAAAGTGTCAAAGTCTCAGTCTCCTTGGTCTCACAAGGTCCTCTCCTAGAAAACCAGAGACTGGAAGCAAGAGGCTTGAGCCCTCAACCTAGTTCTGTTATTGACTGCTCCCTCCAGGTGAGCCCTTCCCTCTTCTGAGATTCAGTCTATTCTCTTAACACTAAGGGGCTGGAAAGATGGCTCAACAGTTAAGAGCACTGGCTGTTGCTCTCCATCTAGAGAACTTGGGTTCAATTCCCAGCACTCACATGGCACAGGCACACATGTGATATACATACAGACAGACAGACAAAAATCTCTAAGCATAAAATAAATAAATTACTACAAAAAGAAGACAGCTGGCTGGCAGTGCCCAGAGAATCCCAGCTGTGAGTCTCAGACAGCTTCTGGATGGGATCAGAGGCAGCTGTAGATAATGAGGCCCTGTAGAGCATCTGGGTGCAAGCTAGGCCACAGGAATTATCAACCAGAGAAGGCTGGGCCCCAATCCTGGCCCACTTGGTCCATTAGGTTTGCTTGAGATCCCTTAAATGACCCCTTCCCAATGTCCAAGAAAAGATACTGGACTTCTCTGGGTCCCACCAACAAACAGGGAATAGACATTGGGGGAAAGAATCAGTCCTGTGTCTTTATTAAAGAGGGTTAGAAAGGGACCACACCTGGCAACCAAGGAATGAGGTACCAGCCAGGAAGGTGGGATGGGCTCAGGCTCTAGGGATTCAAGGGAAGACTGATGGCCTGGGAGGGCCCAAGGAAACCTTGTCCTGGCAGCAGCTGAGAAAGTGCCTAAGGGAAAGCTTTAGACACTACAGCCACAAGCTGGTTCTGCAGGCTGAGGGGCTGAAGCTGTGGATGCAAGATAGGTTGGGGTGGCCTGGAATCACCCTGAGGCCACCTTGGCTTGTCTACCTAGATCATCCACTGGTCCTGATCCTGTTCGTTGCCTTCCATGTCCACCTGAAGAGGAGGCTGGGTGTGGGTGGGGAGGGGCCTCAGCCAGCCTCAGCCCAGATCCTGCCCCTGGGTAGAGCCAGGGTTTCTGCATCCCTTGACCATCAATTATATCAGGGGCAGGAGCCTAGGAACAAAGGCACTCCCTTACACCCCGCCTACCTCATTGACCTCTCCATCATCAGGTGACTCATTATAGTCATTCATCTCATCCATGTCCTGCATGTCCTCATCATCTTCTGAATCCTCTTCACTGTCCTCATCATCTTCATCATCCTCTTCTTCCTCATCATCATAGTGCTGGTAGGGCAAGAGAGAATCTGTAGGTCTCAGGGCTACCTGGACCAGGTCAAGAGCTGGCCTACTTGGAGCCTCCTCCTTCCTAACCCTGCCCACCTTGGTATGGCAGGCTGCAGCATGACCTGAAGGACCTTAGTGCTAGGCCCGATGCCTGCCTCCTCAAGTTCCCACTTTAGCTGTCTACCCAGGTTGAGAACCACAATTGTTCTGAGACAGAAGCAAGGCTTCACAAACCGCCCCCGCCCCCCAGCCAGCCACTCACCTCTGAGGCTGGCTTGCCAATAGGTACCAGGTTGTTGTCTTTCTCTGCGATGCTTTGGAGCTGTGGGCAAAGGCGTGTGGGGAAAAGCAGGGCCAAGGCCCAAGCACAGCAGGTCAAGGGCATGGGACTAGCTTACTACACCCCTTAGAAGACCCCCAAATGTTGAAACAAAGATTCCCCCAACCCCCAGTTCTCAGGAAGATTCAATTCCCCCCTTTTCCTGTCATCTGCTCCTGATAAAATTGATGGACATATGTAAATGAGTCTTTTGGTCTCAGTTTTCTCATGTAATTCTGGTGAGGGTGAAGTGAGACACTTGGCCTAGAATATTGTAGGTCTTCATTAAGTAATTAATTTAAAATGATTAAGTTCTGTGATTTATAGAAAAGAACTTAGACTGTCAGGAGCTTGACATCTAACCTAGCCCTGAAGTCCTATGGTCCCTCAGCCAGTTAGGGTACCACAAAATGAGAGCTTTAGCCTCCAAGTACCCAGCTTGATTATTCCCAACCCAGAGAAAAAATACTTTTCCTAAGCAGGTTTCCAGTATAAGGCAAGGTCATGACCCAGAGGTCATCTCCATGCTGAGCTTGGTCCTCACTCACCCAGGCCTGATGCTGCTGCTCCTGCTGCTGCAGCTCTGTCTCCTCCACACAGGGTCGATCCAGATTAAACCACAATGTCTCAGTCACACGAGGGAACAGGGAAGGGAACAAAGTGGACATGGCTCCTAAGCTGAGGGAAAGGGTCAAGTGAATATGTTTTGTTTTGTTTCAATGCAGTTGTAATTTGATTTAGGGGTGGGGTGGAGTGGGAGGTAGCAGAGAAGCTTCCCTTCCCTCTTGAAATCAGACAGACCTGAGTTTGAGTCCTGGCTCCATCACTTACTAGCTGTTTGACTTTGGCCAATACACTTAACCTCTCTGGGCCTCAGTTTCCTCATCTGTAAAAATGGGGATAACAACAATCATATCATCCTCAAAGTTATTCTGACAACAAAATAAAATAATGGATAAAGTTGTATGCTGCTAAAGGAGAGAAGAGACTGGGAACCAGAGATGGAATGTGGCATTGTGATTATGTACAAAATTAGCAATAGCAGGGATCTAGGAAAAATTCTCTTTAAACATACACACACATCATAAAACTCATTTTTTACTCTTGATTCACATCACATCCAAGCAGTGCAAAAATGTTAGCATGAACCACCTCTTTCACTGACCACAGTCAAACTGCACTACACACAACCAAGGATAAATTACTAGGAAGCATGGATAAATAGACAAACAAATAGAGGAATGAATGATGAACTGACATGTAAGAGAACAAATAAAATCAACTTTGTGGATTAAAGCTGATGACCAGGAAGATCATCAAGAAGCTGAATTAAAATCCATCAGCGCATAAGACCCAGTGACAGGTAAGCTTGACTTTGGGTCGCACACCGGGTGGGGCTTACTTAGAACACACACAAGGAAGGGATCCTGGCCCAGTAACGTAGCAAGAGCGCAGGAAAAACAGAAATGGTGTCTCTCTTTTTTTTTTTTTTTTTTTTTAAATGAGATAGGGTCTCACTACGTAGCCCTGGCTGGTGTGGAACTCACTATATAGACCAGGCTAGTCCCAAACTCACAGAGATCCGCATGCCTCAGCCCCCGAATGCTGGGATTAAAGGCGTACGCCAGCCACCACACTCGCCTCTACTCTAGCTTTTGTTCTAATGGGATCCACGCAGAACTAGCCGCTGCCATTCCCTAGACCAAAGCTCCCCAGGCCCGTGTGACAGGCGAACAGCGCCCACCCTCATGCCAAAAGTACTGACAGAATCTGTATCCTAAAACCCTACCCACCGCCGCCCATACTTTGCTCATTATGATAATGACTGTGAGCTTGACCAACAGGAAGGAGGCAGGGGCGGGTCTCTGACAGGATTTTGTCCTTATAGGGAAGCTAATCGCAAAAATGCGCGCGGCCTGGCTGAAGCCAATTAACTGAAAGAAATGCTGGGTGACAGGAAGTGAAACCAATGAATGACGGAACTTGGGTGATGGGTGGGGCTTAGACTCAAGGAAGCGGCCAATGAGCAGGATGTCGTTAAGCGTAAAGGAGCCGAAGAGATGAGTTGCTGGGGAGGCGAGTCAAAGGAACTGGGTTTCTCTGGAAGCAGGAAGAAAGAACGAGCAAGGAGACGGCAACAGCTTCGTTTCCGCACTTACCGCGCCAAGAGCCGGCAGCCGGCAGCGACCCGGAAGCGCTTCCCCAGGCCTGAGCGGAAGAACCCACCAGAATCCGGGACCCACTCAACGCATGCGTTCTCCGTCTCCTTTTGTTTCCCGCTCTAGCCTACCAAACCGGAAGTGGTGCTGACGTACCTTAGTCACGTACTGGTTGGGGGAGGACACTTATTTGCCGGGCCTACCTATTGGCCCCGCCTTGAATTTCCGGCCAACGGGGTGCTTCTGCCTGGCCCCGCCCCAGCGTCCAGTTAGTCCCGCCCCCGTCATCAGGTGGTGTTTGCGTGCTCATCTTGGGACTGAAGGCCTCCAGTGTTAGCTGGTTCAAACGTTGTGTGTGTCGCTGCGTTTCAGGAACATCTCTTTACCCTTCTGTTCTCTCAGACTCAGTTTCCCGTTTGAACACATTCTTTCCCTTGTGTGAGGATGAACGTTGTGTGTGTCGCTGCGTTTCAGGAACATCTCTTTACCCTTCTGTTCTCTCAGACTCAGTTTCCCGTTTGAACACATTCTTTTCTTTTTGTGAGGATACCTTAAACATGGTAGACAAACCTTCTGTCACGGAACTGCATCATATTCATAATATTGCCTTTTCTTTTTTGAGACAAGGTCTCACTGTATGTTCTTGACGGGCCTGAAACTCACTATGTAAACCAGGCTGGCCTCAAGTCACAGAGACTTCATCTTCCTGCCTTGCCCCATGCTGGTATTAAAGGTGTGCAGCACCATGTCGGCCTCTTTTTAAGTTATTTAATTTAAAATTTTATCTTGTGTGTATGAGTGCTTGGCCTGTACACACACACACACACACACACACACACACACACACACACACATATATTTGCACCATGTTGGTGCCTGGTACCTGTAGAGCCCAGAACAGATTTTTGGATCTCCAGAATCCAACTGCAGTTAAAGATGGTTGTGAGCCACCATGGCAGTGCTGGGGAATGGGTCCTCTGGAAGAGCAACCAGTGCATTTTTTGTTGTTGTTTTGTTTTTCGAGACAGGGTTTCTCTGTGTAACAGCCCTAGGTGCCTTGCAACTCGATTTTTAGGCAGGTTGGCTTTGAACTCAGGGAGATGGGCCTGTCTCTGCCTCCCAAGGGCTGGGGTTAAACACATGTGCCACCACACCCAGTGTAGCAGGTGAATCTCTGTTAGTTTAAGGCCAGCCTAGTCTACAGCGTCAGTTCCAGGACAATCAGGGCTACACACTGAAACCCTATCTCGAAAAACAAACACCAACAAAAAAGTGTCTCAAAAACAAACAGAAAAACAGATTTTCATTAAAGTGTAAAATATACCCTTTGGAAATATCATCCTTTTTGTTCATGCCTTAAATATTTACTGATGCCTTTAATCTCACCATTTGGGAGGCAGAGGTAGGAGGATCTCTGTGAGTTACAGGCCAGCCAAGGCTACAAAGAGTGACCCTGTCTCCAAAAATCAAACAAACAAATAAACCTAGAAAGCCAGAAAAATGTGTATTGCTATTTTGAGTAGTGAATATACAACAGTGAACAAAATAGACCATCCTTCCCTTTTTTGTGCTTCCATTCTAGTGGGGGATTAATAAAGGACACATAAATTAAAGTTGTAAGATTGCAGTAAATACTAACAATAAAATATAAAACATTGTGGGGGGAGGCAGGGTTAGTTCAGTGGCAGAGTGCTTGCCTGGTTTGGTCCTCAGCTCCAGAAAAAAAATTGATAGGGCAAAACTCATAAGATAAAATAAATTTTTTTTTTTTTTTTGGTTTTTCGAGACAGGGTTTCTCTGTGTAGCTTTGCGCCTCTCCTGGAACTCACTTGGTAGAAAATTTTTAAAAATCCAGAAATATAGGACAAGAAATGGATGAATTTTGAATAAGTCAGAAATAGAGAAATCAGCTGGGCATGGTGGTGTACACATTTAATCTCAGCATTTGGGAGGCAGAGGCAGGCAGATCTCTGTGAGTTTGAGGCCAGCCTGGTTTACACAATGAGTTCCAAAACAGCCAGGATTACATAGAGAGACCTTCTCTAAAACAAAACAAAACAAAAATAGAAGTTAAGAAATCAAGGTTTTCTGACAGATAGGATATAAATTGTAGAGCATTTATGGAAGAAAGGAACCATAAATTTTGGCTCAAACAACTGGAAGATAAGTGTTGCCATTTTTTTGAGGTTAAAAAAACTGAGGAAGTTTCTGGTGGAACACTCTCTGTTGAGTTTGAAATGCACTTTACACTTTTTTTTTTTTTTTGGTTTTTCAAGACAGGGTTTCTCTGTATAGCTTTGCGCCTTTCCTGGAACTCACTTGGTAGCCCAGGCTGGCCTCGAACTCACAGAGATCCGCCTGGCTCTGCCTCCCGAGTGCTGGGATTAAAGGCGTGCGCCACCACCGCCCGGCGAAATGCACTTTAGATTAGAGATGTTGAGGGAGCACAGAGGCATGTGGGTCTGCAGATCAGTGGGAAGAGCTGGATTGGATATTTCATGCTTGGGAGTTATGGTGTCTAAGCTACACGATGGGGTGAGGTCATCAAAAGTGAATGAAGGTGGAAAACAGTTCCCATCGTTATTAATAAGTAGTAGACTGCTAGGCATGGTGGCGCATGCCTTTAATCCCAGCACTCAGGAGGCAGAGGCAGGTGGATCTTTGTGAGTTCAAGGCCAGCCTGGTCTACAAAGTGAGTTCCAGGACAGCCAGGGCTGTTACACAGAGAAACCCTGTCCAAAACAAGTAAACAAAAAAGTAGTAAGCCAAACAGGATGAAGAAGGTGAATTGGGTGGTATCCTGGAACCAAGCACAAAAAAGGCTTTTATAAGGGGGAATTGGTCTACTGTGGCCCAGTTTTATTCAAAATCATGTCTCTGTTTGTCATCCCAGTAGACTGTAAGCTCCTACAGGGCAGAGACTGAATGGTCTCTGTGTCTCCAAGGCCCTTCTTCTGGATATTTCACTTGCTCTCCTATGATCTTTGTCCCCAAATGTCCTTCCTCTCTTGTTTTCCTTACAGGGTCTCTATCTCAGACGATTTTTACCTCTGACCCGTCCTGACAGCTCTGGACACATGGATATTCCCCAGTAGTTTAGAGTTTCTTTCCAAGGTTCCAAGTCAGGTTCAACAAGTCATGGTGACTAATTAGCTCGTGACATTTGTTGAATGTCAGTGAGTGCCAGACACGTTGTTAGGCTCTGGAAAGAGAAAGATGAAACAGGAGGGGGAAATCCTGCCCCTAAAGACAAATGCAGCCTAGTGGGGACTGAGACAATGGTGGAAGAAGATGGTTGAGGTTGAAATCAAATATGTGGGGAACATCAGGAGAGCACAGGGAGTGGAGAGATGCATGGCTCTGGAAAAAAATGAATTTACACTTTTTCTCTAAAGAAGGAAACACTGAAATGGGCCTTGAGGAGATAATCCTCTTGGTGAACAAATAGAAATAAAAAGTATACGAAGAAGCATGTGCAAGGGCAAAGAGTTAGAAAGTGGTTATACGTTTAGAGCCCAGGGAGAATCCAACTTGGGCAGAAGGAGATTGTTGTTGGTTGTTTTGCTCTTTGGGGGGCCCACCACCCAGCTCCCAAATAAATCATTTGCAGAGGTTTATTCTTTCTTATGAATGCCTGGCCTTGGCTTGGCTTGTTGCTAGTCAGCTTTTCTTTTTTTTTTGGTTTTTCGAGACAGGGTTTCTCTGTGTAGCTTTGCACCTTTCCTGGAACTCACTTGGTAGCCCAGGCTGGCCTCGAACTCACAGCGATCCGCCTGGCTCTGCCTCCCAAGTGCTGGGATTAAAGGCGTGCGCCACCACCGCCCGGCAGCTTTTCTTAACTTTAAATTATCCCATCTACCTTTTGCCTCTGGGATTTTAACTTTCTCTTATTTCTATATATCTTACTCTTACTCTTATTCCATGGCTGGCTGGGTGGCTGGGTGGCTGGGTGGCTGGGTGACCGGCCGACTGGCCCCTGAAGTCCTCCTCCTTTCTCTCTTATTCCTTTATCCTTTCCTCCCAGATTTCTTCTTCTATTTATCCTCTCTGCCTGCCAGCCCCACCTTTTTCCTGTCTTGCTATTGTCCATTCAGAGCTTTATTAGACCATCAGGTGTTTTAGACAGGCAAAGTAACACAGCTTCACAGAGTTAAACAAATGCAACATAAAAGAATGCAACACATCTTTGCATCATTAAATAAAGGTTCCACAGCGTAAACAAGTGTAACACATCTTAAAATAATAGTCCACAACACTAGATAGGTGGGGATAAAGAAACAGTGTTAGGGAATCTAGATGGGGAAGGAGGGCTTTGGTGGTGCTCAGATGAATAGGATGGGATGGGCACTGGGCATCCGGGTCTTACTTTGGTCCTATTGTTGACTGTCTGGGCCCACAAAGAGATAATTTCTCATCCCCAAGCTCCTATTTTTTTAAATTTAATATCCTGACCATGTTTCCAACTGTTCTGTGAGTCTGTGGAAGAGGTTTTTGGGCCTGGCCCTTTCTGCAATGAAATTTTACCTGTTACATTGTGTTTATATAAATAAAGGACTGGAAAATGGAAGGTAGGGTCAGAATGGGATTTCCCAATACTCAGAAATAAACTCAGAGCCCACAG